CGCGACGCAAAATTTCCATCTGCTTCCTCGAACGCGCCGTATATCTGTCGGGTTCGTTGTCGGTTCGTTCTTCTGGCTGTGACCTGTTCCGCGCATTCAGATTAATCGTTGAGAATACGGAGAAATCGTCCAGTCGGAATCGTCGGATTCCGGCCCTCGAGCTTTCACGGAAAAGGGAATTACCAAGCGGAAAGAGGAGGTTAACGAGGACTGCGACGGCAAGGAAACGAGCACGCGGTTCCCTGAACGGGACCCGACCGGCCGAGGATCGACCGACCGATCAATCGACCGGCCGCTGCGAGTTGAACTCATCGAGCCGCGTCGAGATCCGTCGCGGGAGGACGACGAGACAAAGGCCAAGGCGAATTGCCCCGCGAAACTCGACACTCGGCTCGCTACCAGAAATTCCTCCGGAGAGACTGATTAACGCGGTTAGGAGAATTATGTAAACGACCGTGCGGGCAACGAGACTGCTTCTCTGTCGACGCGGTCGTGTCCCGACCGACGAATCACGGCCGTTGAGAAGAAAAGAGTGAAAGTCGAGTTTACCTCGGTGACCAGGGTGCTGTCGTAGTCTCGGTTGTCGTAGATCCATCCGTGTCGACACTTGGTCACGGGCCAGTCTGGGTTACCGACCGGCGGCGGTGGCAATCCGCTCCTCGATCTCGTCGGCTGCGCCTCGCCCTCTTTCTCCGTCGCGTTCTCGAGGACCGCGTGCTCCAGCCACGATTCCACGATCGCCGTGTAGTTCACGTCGTACATCTTGCACTTGGAGTACTTCTTCACCTTGCCGTCCGACTTCTCAACGTACGGCAACGAGAGCGCCTTCCTCTCCTCCAACGTCATCAGATCCGTCAGATTGTCCAACTCCGGGATCCTGCACCAATGCTCCGGCGACGCGCTCACGAACACCTGCGCACACGGACAAAACAGGAAACGGTTTTTAAAGCTGCTGCCGCCGCGGTGAAAATCGACGAAAACCACCAACCGTGTACGGTTGGTTAGAACGGACGTGTTCTACGACGTGACGACTCACTTGGGAAAAGGCGAGAAAAGCCGCGGGAAGAGTGGCCGATATGCAGAGGAGATAGTACATGATGTTCTGATATTTGCCCTTCTCGCCCACGTGCACCAACACCTCGTCGAAGTCGATCGAGCTCATGTTTCCGACGCTGTCGTTTCACCAGCGCGTTTCACGAGCAGCAACGGCAACCACGACGACGACGACGACGACGGCACCTTCGTTACGTCGATGATCCTTGGCGATTCGACGGTCACGCGAAGACGACGGCGACGACGGCGACGGCGACGATGATGATGTCGGCTCGAGTCACGCGGCATGACCGCCGCTACGCGTTTTCGAGGGCATGCACCGGCGGGGCGACCACCACCGTGTTGTCCTCTCCTCGCGGAATCGCGCTTCTCCGAAACGTTTTCGCCCAACGAGAGTTTTCCCTTTTGCCGCTGCCGCTGCACCACCGCTGCACCAGCCTCGCTACTCCCGCGATCATTCGACGACCACGCCGATCACGATCACGATCCAGCGTCGCGTCGCGTCGCGTCGCGCATCGCAAACGCACCGATCTACGAAACAACGCGCCCCGATCTGTGTGCGAGAACGCGCGGCCAGCGACGATCGGCACCGATTCACGGACGAGTGTCGCGATTGTCCTCCGCCTGGATCACGATCTACGGTCGACTCTACGTCCCGCTAACGAAGTAACGGCGCGGCGCTACGGTACGCTTCTGCTGCTTCGAATTCGGGATCGCGTAAAGCGCGGCGAACGCACGTCTTCGCGCGTTCTTATACGTCGCGAGCATAGCGCCAGCCGCGATCAGCCATTGCCGGTGAACACCTCCTCTCTTCCGATCCTCCCGAACATCGTCGTCTTCGACGTCGTCCCTCCGCCTCCCCGCTGCTCCTCCGCCGCTTCACCTCGGTCCTCGCCGATCCTACAGCTGTGAGTGAAATTCTTCCATCAACCATCTCACTGCGCGTATTTCCTTTCGTATCGCGCCCGTTCTACGCACCCTTTTCCTCTCGCTTGTGCCCCGACGCGCGGCACCCTTCCTCCTCGGCCTCGTCTCTGTTTTCGCGTTTTTCGCCTTCGTCCCCGTGGTACTTGTACTTTGCTCGATCTCCCACCTGTCGTGCAACATCGATTGGACGTTGACTTATCTTCGCTAACTGGCGACTATCGACTCTCGCGATATTCTCGGCCTGGCCGAGAGACGATACAATTTGCGGCGGATAAAGGAGAAGAGAGAGAGAGAGAGAGAAAGAGGGAGAATGCGAGTTTGACGAAGAGGTCATCGAGCTTTTTCCAAAGATCGCGAAGTAGACGAACACGTTCGTACACGCGGCGACGATTTCGCAACGAGAACGGAATGCGAATCTCGTTCCCTCGTCGGTGAACGAACGTATGCGCGTCGTTGCGACTCGCGGCGCGTCGTGATTCGCTCTAAAATGCAATCGCAAACCGCGAGGAAACGCTGGAAACTAACGAGAACGTCTCGGCAATTTGTCCATCCACGCGACGGCCGGAAAGGTTGCAGAAACGAGAGATGCGAATCGTTCGACGACGTTCCCGTCCTTGTTCTCCTCTCGTCTCGTCTCGTCTCGTCTCGTCTCGTCTCGTCTTGCTGGTTTCCTCTCGTTTATTCTCGTTTCGAGTTTATTTCAACGCGCGTTC